AAGAATATGCAGTAAGCTAAGCGAAGAGGTAAGCAAGGTTAGACTATACTACAACTACTAAACGTGTTATTTCTACTACTACATATAAAAATAAAATAAAAACATCTACAATCAACAATTACTTCAAATAAAATGAACAAAAATAAGCATGCAAAATAAAAACTAATTCAAATTAACTACAACAAAACATACAAAAAAAAATAATTTCATCTTTTTCTTCTCCAACGTCGATCTGAAACAGATACGGTGGTAATAGATTAATAAAGAGCAATTAAAATTAGCTGTATCAAGTTTCTCACCTTAATTAACTGCAGACTGAAACTGTTTGCAGGTGTGAAGAGCAAACCAAACCCAGGAGGAACACCATAGCAGAAATTTTGTTGGTCCATTTGAAATCAAATAAATCCTTAGTTGCTCCCACTAATCGGTCGAAAATGAACTGCATAGTGTTGCGAAGTGAAGATGAAAATATCAAATCAGGAACAAAGTACAGAAAAGACCACACCCATGTAGACGGTTGTTCGAGTAGCGCCAAACTGAACTCATTTGTTGGACAATCTGCAGAAAGGGCAAAAAAATATATTAATTACACTATTAATTAAGGAAGGAACTAAACACTCCTAAAAATAAACTACAAAAAGCAAGTAAAGTAGCTGAATTATAATAAAATGACTACAACTGTCATTTCACACCATGACCATAGATCCTGCATGACATAAATAAAGACAATCGTAGATGTACGATGTCAATTTATGATGTGCACAATAGATATTTAAAGAAATGAAATACCGTAGATACACGTAAAGGTAACTGAAATTGTGAACAAAAGATAATTGGTAAGACAGATAACCCATAAGTTCAATATTGAGCAACTAATAATTATAAATGGCATGCATTCTCACCTTAATTAACTGCAGAAAGTAGCTTTTTAAGGTCGAATGAACAAGCAAAATCCAGGAGGAATACCACTCCAGACAACTTGTTGTTTCAGTCGTTTCCAAATTAATTTCCGGATGCCTCCCCCTCAAAGGTTCAAAATTATGTTGAAAGAGTATGACATCATAAGCTTTAGCTCTTTCAGTACCATCGAAACTAGCTGTAATTCCTTCTCACTTAGACAATCTATAGAAACGGACAAGAAAACGTGGTTAATTACAACTTTTAAAGCGAATAAATCTGTAATATTTTAATGAGGCGATGTGGTGTTAAAGTTAAAAGCTAACTTTTGCACTGATGGAAACGCCAGTTCCACATTTTGCTTCTGCCACTTCTAAAATGTTTAAAAGTTGTCTGATTAAATAAAGAAAGTTACAAGTTACCAGTTCATTCGTCATAAATCCTTCCTTCAGCAATGCCACCCTGTATCCGTTCCCAATGGAAAAAAAGGCACTTTTGTGCTTTCTGGATCGAATGAACACTGACACAACCAAGGCACTGTAAATTAAAGCCATCCAGGGTTTTTCCTTATGTTCCTGTGAAATGAAATTTTATGAGTTTTCAGATATAATTAATTTAGCCTCTTTAGTAAATAACGTGCATGACACAATAGTAAAGTTAATATCAAAAAAAATATACTAATTATGGCATGTACGCTCACCGCAATTAATTAGAAGATCCTCCACGGCAGACAACTTGCTTTTTCAGTTGCATCAAAATGAACACTCTTTCATTCTTAATTAACATCAATCTGTAAAAATAAGGAAGAAAAACGAATAAACTAAATTATTAAACAATTAAAACATGAAATGCAATGAAAATACGCACCGAAAAGCAAATAAAATTGCAAATTTTAAAAATGGCGACGTAGCGTCGTTTTTAATAGAAAATGGCAAGATGAATGAAGAAAAACGAATAAACTAAATTATTAAACAATTAAAACATGAAATATAATGAAAATACGCACCGAAAAGCAAATAAAATTGCAAAATTTTAAAAATGGCGACGTAGCGTCGTTTTTAATACAAAATAGCACGATGGACAACATCGTGGAACAAACATAGATAATAGATACACAAAGGGAACAAAGCAAGATCTATAAAATTCATAGATTCATAAATAATTGTCAATTTATCCTGCGGATATGTAACTATGAAGGAAAACCCTATAGAGCGTAGATGAAAAAGCTAGAATCTTTAATCCATAGACATATATTAATGGACGTGCCTTAGCCGGATGTATTGTAATAATTTCTTGGCTCGAAAAGTGAGGGAGGTGGCGTATGGTTTCGGACTANCCTCGTATTTGGCTCAAAACTGAAAATTTTCATAAATTTCAAGATTTGTATTAGGAGAGCATAAGTTGCATCGGGTCTTTTTCAAAAAACAATTTTGGATTTTCCATTACTTTTCGACTAACCCTCGTATATGGTAGAAGTCCTTAACGATCGCAGCGCCACCTTATGCCAAATAGCCGAACTACTATAGTTCGGCAGTCTGCCGCTAGAGGGCCCCTGGTGACGAATAGCCGAACTACTCGGGTTCGACGGTCTACCGCTAGAGGGCGCTGCGATCGCTTAATACGAGGGTTAGTCGAAAAGTAATGGAAAATTCAAAATTGTTTTTTGAAAAAGACCCGATGCAACTTATGCTCTCCTAATACAAATCTTGAAATTTATGAAAATTTTCAGTTTTGAGCCAAATAC